GAGGCTGACCGGCCTGTAGTTCCCTGGGTCCTCCTTCTTGCCCTTTTTGAAGACTGGAGTGACATTGGCTTTTCTCCAGTCCTCGGGCACCTCTCCTGTCCTCCAGGACCTTTCAAAGATGATGGAGAATGACTCAGCAATGACATTCGTCAGCTCCCTCAGCACTCGTGGGTGCATTCCATTGGGGCCCATGGATTTGTGGGCATCCAGATTCTTTAAGCAATCCCTCATGCAGTCCTCCTCAACCAAGGGAAAGTCATCCTCTGTGTAGGCTTCCTCTCTTGCCTCCAGGGCCTGGTATTCCTGAGGGCCTACCTTGGCACTAAAGAATGAAGCAAAGAAGGCATTCAGTAACTCTGCCTTCTCTGCATCCTCCGTCACCAGGACACCCGCCTCATTCAGCAGCAGCCCCACATTGTCCCTAGCCTTCCGTTTGCTACTGATGTAGTTGAAGAAGCCCTTCTTGTTGTTTCTGACATCCCGTTGCCTTGAATGATGCTGAATGAAGCTTTCCTTGTTTAGGAAGTGAATGCAAGTCTTCTCAGAGTTGAGGATCTCTTGGGGAAAAGTCTCCTCAGGTGAATCACTCATCTATTCAACTCCCTGTCAAGCCGTATCTTCACTTAAACCTCCCATGTCACTTCATCCAAGCTATGTTGCATATATTTATCCATTATTTTGCTGATACATGTTAAAACCAAGGAGAATCATCATAGTAATGCTAAAAGAAATGTAAGTCATCTTCTGTGGTACCTTGAAAAGGACAAAGAATCGTCTGAGAAGATGCTTACCAGTACTTGGATGTGCTACTCAATAGGATAAATATAATCCTGCATGTTGCATGAGTTTGCATTGGACGGTAACCAGATTAATGGGAACTTGCAAATTCAGTTTCATGTATATGGAGATAGGTCTTCAGTGACGTCAGCAAGATAAAATTTCTGGCCACAGAATCACAATTGCACCAACTGGTCTATATTTGCTTCTGCTGGTGAGAAGACAAACAGCAGTCTAATGAATTCTACCACATACGTAGTGGGTAGTCTCGTTATGTTTTGGATGTGGGGTTTTTTTTGGTGGCCATAGTCCAGCTGGTGGAGACATTACACAGAAATCACCAAGTAACCTTTGCATGCCATTTTGAATGTGCCTGCTGGCACAAATCAAATGAGAGACACATAAAAGCCTTAACATCATGAATCAGCACAACACTTGTTTAAGTCTGGTTGGATATTTCCTGCATCAGCTGTTGAATTCTACAGCCTGAGAAGTCCAGTAAGCTTGATGCTGGCTAGCTGAATTTTAGAATTGTTTCAGAACAACTGTACCACATCTTGCACTGAAAACATTTTTCACATTATAAAACCTGGTAAGTTAGGATTGAAAGGGAAAGGGCTTTCCATTCAGCCTGTCGTTCTGTTTTTCGACTACCAGTTTAAACAAAGGTCTCTGGAGGGTCTCCCTCCCATTCAGAAACCCATTGTTTCTGTGAACTTCAGGCAGTAAGTTCAGTGCTGAGTGGGTGCCTGTTTCCTTTGAGCTTTTTGCAGGCCGTATTAAATGCTTTTAGTGGCAATTCTGTCAGGTGGGAGACCTGTTAGAAATGTGAATGTACCTTCCTATTCATAGCATTTCACAAGAACATGGCTAAATCTGAGCTTCTGCTCAAGGATCTCTTGTAATTCAACTGTAATGAGTATCTTTCTCCTGCATCTGATACTTAATATGGTGACTGTATTGGTTTACTTTAATGTAGTCAATAAAGACAAGCAAGTCTTATGCAGGATGCATCAAATGTCTCCTCATCTGGAAGACGCTGTTGTTCTGTTTGGCCTCAGCTAGAGTACTGTGTCCAGTTTTGTGCATCCTTTAGAAGGAATTAGACCAGCTGGAAGAAGTTTAGATTCATGAAAAATGTTCAGAATTGAGTTGGAATGAGTGGGAAGACTGAAGGAAGATGAAATGAGTCTTCATGTATACCAAAAAATAGGGCATAGGACATACTTCTTTAGACCTTGGGGTTTGGACTGTTAAGTAATGGATTTGAATTAGTAACAGAGAGACTAGAAAGTTTTTCGTAGAGTCTCAGTGGTAAAGGTAGTTAATACAACTGGTGAACACTCCATTGTGGGAAATTTCTCTATCAAGAATTATAGTTTGGAGAATATTGAATAGTCTTATATCTTGAAGTCTTTTCTAGCCCTGCTTTTCTAATTAGGATCCACATGGTCTCACATTGTACAAGAAATTGTGGTGATTGAATGTTTGCCTTACTGAAGGTGTTTGCCACGCCTTAACAAGCTTGCTGTATCTCCAAAATTAAAGCTCTTGCACCTGAAACCGGAGAATTTGTAGAGTAATCAAGAGTGGGAAGCTGATTCATAACCCAGTCAGATACTGATGTGTTTTGTCTCAAACGTTTAATCAAAAATAATGCCTTGTCTTAGTAATTGTCGGAAAAAGGCAAATGTTGTTGCCTAGCGAGAAGATATCACTGGCTTGCTTTCTTTTTTTTATTGATTTATGTATTTAGTGTTGATTCTGAGAAATTGTTTCCACGTGTTGTCTTGTCTCATTCAAAACATGGCACCTTTCACATCTCTTTGCTTTTCAGTTTTCCCACTGCGTCACCTAGAACAGTATTTTTTGCCTAGATTCCCAAAACGTTGCATGTTACAGCTTACTGCTGAATGAATAGTTACGTAAAGAGTCATACCCTCCTGGGGTAAAGTGTAAACTATTTGTAGAGGTTAACGTGCTCTTTTTGTATGAAGTGAATGGTGCTCAGAGGTAGTCCTCATTGTGTGAACATCAATGCTAAGTTATACTGGAACATCCCTATTTTGAGTAACTGCTTTATTTGAATGTCTGTCAAATGTTTTATGTTTGAGATTTTGTTGCCTTGTTTTATTCTGTTCAATATATATACTAACTTACAAATCTCAGTATGAGGTGATTAGTGATATTTATTTTACCTCAAGAGTGGACTGAAAAAAGCTGGAATTTTCTGTAGTAATTACTGCTCCAGGTCCTGTTAATCAAATAATTTAGAATAACAAACAAGATCTTTTTCTTAATAAACAAACTTCCGTAGCTTTCTTAGAGAGTAGCTTATTAGGTTTGAAGTCTCTGCACGGTGAAAAGAAGTATTTTGGATTTTAAGTTATTTAAGCTATTATATTTAAATTAACTGCGACAGCAAAAAGAGGAGCTATGCTTATTTCATAATTTTTCATTAGACTATGTGGCATTCAGATGATAAAGAATTGTAATCTCTAAATTATAATAATGACCACTCAACGCATGCCCCGTGTTTGAGGGACAGCCTCAAAACCTTAGATGTTGTGAGTTGTCCATGTAGATGTTAGATGAACTGCTATGTAAAAACAGTTTGAGTAGCTGCTATATAATGGTAGAAGTTGTTTCAAAAAGTAAGATTAAAGATCACCTTTACTGGGTAACTTACTGTGACAGGTTAACAGGGAGTGAGACGTGGGAGGTGAAGTTAAGTACAGAAATTTGCAGTAACTTTCTTTGCTCTTTATTCAAGTGGTGTTCAGTATACTTTTCAAGCTCTTCCTTTTTCGTTTGTGTATCTTCTTAATATTTTTTTTTCCAAAATGTATGTTATGCTTAGAAATCCTACAGATGAACTTTGCAATATGCTTCTCTGTATACCATTTTATAGCACTTTTTTATCATTTATTTTTGAATTGTTAGAAGTCTAAAGGCTCTGCTTCATTTAAAAATAGTCTTTGGTGGTAAGATGCAATTTTTGTACTATTACTTTTTTTGTATTTTCTAATGCATCTTCAGCAGTATTGAAAGATTTGTGTTTGAATAACATGGAAGTTGATTCAAAACATGTTTTGGATATTCATTTTTCTGGGTAGCACAACCAAACCTGTTTTACAGAAACTTGTTTAAAAGACATAAGGAAGTCAGATATATTGGCTTAATTGGGGCATGTGGTGTGCTAACAGCAGTTCTCTGTATAAATGAGTGTTATTTTCTGGAACAAAATTGCTGTACCAAAATTACTCCCATAAAGCTCCTGGTATCATACAGTTTTAATTCTAGATCAACATGACAGATTAAAGTTAAACAAAAGTCATGGAAACAGTAAAGCATGCCCAAAAGTGCTGTAAGGTATTGCAGTGTGGATTGCTTTGGAGCTGTTAGTCCCAAAGAGATAATTAGTTATTACGAATAAGTACTTAATGTCAAAGATGGGGCACATTTGTTAAATCTGTCTTGGAAAACAAACAGCCTTTGGTGCCTTTCGGTCATCAGGAGTAAATGTTTCATCGGTGTCTTTTTTCCTAATTGACTGCAGAGCACCAGTAAGAAGTTGGATGTGAGATGTGCCTGCCAGTGGTACGCAGTCACCGGAGATTTCGGTGTGCTGCTCCAGCTGGGAAGCTGGGTTTCACCGCTGGTTGGCGGGAAGTGTAAATAGTGACCATGTTGATGTGAATCTCTGTTTTCTGCCAATAGATCTTTGCAGTATGTGATCTAAGCTAATGATGTATTTGTGTCTGTGAGTGTGGTTTGGGTCTGTGTGGGAGAGCAGAGGAAGGGAAGCAGAGGCGCTCGTTACATACTGAATGTTTTAGCGATTTGGTTAGATGAAATTTGGATGTTCCTTTTGGACTAGAGATGGAAAGTGTAAACTTCCTTTTGGGATTGTTCTTTTTTCTTTATACTATCTAGTAATAGAGTAATACTAAGCCACATAATTTATCCAGTTGATGAGTTATAAACAGTAGTTAGTAGTGGCATACTTTAATAACAGGTTACTTTTCAGTACATTTGGAGAGAGTACACCTGCCTGTGTGTTTGTGTGAGAATTTTTGCCTCAGTGTTAGGAATTTGAGAGACTTGGCAGTAGCTGTTCTTTGTGAAAAAGGTTATTTGGTTGTTTGGGTTTTTTTTCCTCCTTCCGAACTGATTTTTCATATTGCTGAGGCAGTGTCTATTCACGTAGTCTTAATTCCTGTTTTGTAATGAGACATGCCAAGCTTTATAACCCTTTGAAATTCTGGGACCCTACTAAACACAAGTGATGTTGACTTTATAGAGGAGTAGAGTGCCTTTTGAAATATAAGTCAAATGAAAGTAGTAATTGATGTATTGCAGTAAAACTGTTAAGCTGTTTTTAATTGTTTGGAGCTAATGGCCAAAGTTCTTAACACTTGGTGATTGGGAGAATGTTGTAGAACCACAAACGTCAGTTCATAAAAATGAAGCTGATGTCTTTTTCTTTCTGATTGTTTGGACTTTTTTTAGACTGGTCCATATAGCCACGTTTCACTAAGGTTCAGCTTTTGGTTAAGGGACTGAGCCTTTTCAGGATTCTAGTTAATACCAAAACTAGCACATTTTATTCTGAATGTGAAGTGTGTGCCTCCGTATCACAGACTCACAGCGTCCACAGGGACCCTGAGCACGGAGCCAAGTCTGAGCAGCTCATCAATGCCAGCAGCAACAGAGCGGGAAAATTATCAGGCAACTTCAACAACGAAAAGATTTGACTGCTGGAGCTCTTTTAAGGGAAATCCTGGTAAAATGTCAAGGTGTCTGACTGACCCCAAACTTCATAATCTGTTGGGTTTTTTTCCTTTTTTAATCCTTCTGAACGGCCTGGTAAAGATCAGATTTCGTAAATGACAAAGCAGTTAATTTGCAGCACTTAACTGCCGTTGTGATTAATTTTTTTTGTTTTCAGTTGATCTCTTTTGTTGTAAGAGAAATGGCTCAGGAGTGTGTGTGTGTATATGTATTATATATATGGTGTGAGCCTGCAGAAGATCAATGATTTCACAAATGGCTTGTCTTTTAGTCACTGCAAATTAGGTATTTTTGAGAACATGAATGTTTGGTATACATGGAGTGACATACCTGTAGTAAAGAAATAAGAAAGACTTTAAAATAAATAAGCAAATAGAAGTAAGATTATTAGAACTGTGTATTTTACTGAAAAGAAAACTAACTGTTACTATCAGGAATTTTGGGCAAATTTGGTGTTTGTTTTTTAAGTTCTTTTTTTCCAAGCTGGGTCCCTGAATTGCCCCCTTCTCCCTCTTCCCCCCTCCCCTCCATCTCTCAGGACTTCTCTCATTCCATTTATTTTGTTATTAAGAAATACTCAGGTTTTATGTGCACATCCACTTAATTCTAAATCGTAGATAATAAGAGTTAAGCTCCTAAATTGATCTCTGATCTTAACTGGGCATGCTTTCTTTTCTCCCTCCTGATCTCTTTCTCTTACTTTTCTAGGAAAAATAAGTCGAAGTGCTAGTGCCAAACAATGCCAATCAGGGGTTGTTGGCCACTTGCACAGGTGAAATACTGGCTGTGCTAGGATTATTCTGCAGCATCAGGGACAAAATTTCCTGGACTTGTCGGTGTTGGAGATACACTGAAAAGAAAAACTTGTGTTAATCGCTGTGATGCAGCAGTTCTAAAAACATACTAATTTGAGAAGACAAGGTCAGGCCTGACAGTCCCAGGCTTCGAGCCAAACTGGACTTCTGCATACCAATGTTAGTAAACTCTGTTGCCACAAAAGGTGGCTGGACTAAAGTAAAACTTTCCCACCTACTAATAGAGAAGTTGACATTAGTACACAATACCAAAAAATAATTGCTTTTTTTTTCCCCCCTGTTGGGAGTGAATAGCAGTAGATAGCTACATCCTAAATGTGTTGGACTGGGAAGCAATTTTTATGCAGCTGACAAGTGTTGGAGACTAAATACTCTCTGTTGTTATAAAATAGGCATTTGAAAGGTGTTGTATTTGCATTTGGTGACAGCACAATTCCACTGAAATGAAAGTAATGAAAAAAGCAACAAAAAGCAAACTTCTGGATATTTTTTTCCTCCTCAGGTCACGGTCAAGGTCACCAAGGAGAAGGGCTCACACACCAGAAAGGCGGAGAGATGAAAGAAGTGTTCCAACAGCGTATCGCATCAGTAATAGTCCTGGAAATAGTAGGAAATGCCCACGTTCCAAGTAAGTACACCTGGTCCTGGAGAAGGCTATGTCCTGGCATCATAAGAGACTTTAAACATTGCCTGATGTGTTGTATGCTCCATAGGCAGAACTTACGTTTTGTATGTTCTGGAGCTTTATTTTACTAGAGAAATACTTCTGTGGAGAAAAAAGAAGTTAATAGAAGCCCTCATTCTTCTCTTCCCATTCTTGCATATGTTGAAACACAAAATGTGCAATCAAGTCAGTGAATGTTAATATGCTATTGTCTCCTAGTTGTGAGAGTTCAGATTTTATTTGGACTTTCATATTTCCTTCTTGTTGGGTCATTTTCCATGCTTTGCTTGTGCAAGCTGTATGACAGAGATCATACAGTGGTATTATGTTATTCCTACTGGTATTGCATGACATCTCATTGTATCTGCACAAATAAGGGGAAACTCCAGTTTAGCAAAATAAATAATTGCTTTAAGTTTAGCAATTATTTTACTGGCAGGGTGGAATGCGAAATATGAATCAAGAGGTGCCTTTTTGGAGAGCACCTTGCATATAGTCTCTCTGATCTTGTTACAACCAAAATGGCTTACCAACCATTATTTCAGCTCACCGATTGCAGAAGAAAAACATCTGCAAAGTGTGCGCCCAGAAGGTTCTAAAATGTTTTATGTCTCTAATGTTTTGTGGCATGTTGTGTCTTCAGCATGCATGGAAATGAATTTTTTTCATGCTTGTATATGTACACCTAACGTGTACACAAAACCCAACACATAGAAGTTTCTAAACTGTGCAAACAGAATCTTTCTCCTCACTGGTGAAGATATGCTCTTTAACCAGTTTCTCCATATGTCTTATGGAATAAGAAACAGAGAGATCATTTTCAATGTCATGATTATTAAAAAACTTTCAGTGTTTCTCAAGATAACTTTCCGTCTCTGGATGGAAACCTCTAATTGATGTTTGATATGTACAATTAAGAATTTCATCAGTATACTTCAGCTGATTCAGTTCTCCGCATTCATCAACTGGAGATAATAGAGGCTTCTGTGGCATTCAGGATGCAAATTTGGTTAAGCAGAAAAGATATGGAAGCTTAAAATGCTTTTCTTCCTGTGAACGCACACAGGAATATTTTCACAGCCGTGTGCTTTTTTTTTTTTTTGCAGTGTGGAGGTGTCTGCTGCTGCTTGACCATTCAGCATTTTAAGCTATAAATTATTTTTAGAATTATGCCACTCCACGTGGTATATTATGATGACAGTTGTGAAATGAACTAGATCCTCTTTGAACAATATTGTTTATATAGGTGGAAAGTAAAATTTTGTTAGACCTCAAACAGGAGAACGGAACACTACACGATAAAATACGGCAGTAAGTGCAAAAAATGTGGACTGAAGAAAGAACATTGTAGTGAAACATGGATGAGAGTATTTTGTAACTCTGATTGCAGAAAGCCTAGTGTTTCAGCCCTGTTAGGACTAACGTATTAAGTTTTGAAGTGAAAATGTAGATGCTGTGATGGACCAGTTTACATCTTCAGTTATGGAGTAGATTCTTCGCAACAGTGTAATGGAAGCAAGGTTTGGGTTCAAGGTCTGTTAAAAGCTATTCAGTTTACTTTGGCTTGCTGCGAGTGGGTGATGTATATTTCACCTGATAGCTGAGAGCAGGTTTCAATCTGACATGGCAGCAGTCAGCTGGGTGTTCTTACACTAAGAAGTAGGCAAGCTTTAGAATCCAGTACTGCCAGAGGACTGAAAATTAGAATTGATAAATACTGTGATGTTTTAAACTTGCTCGGGGCATTAATCTGATACCAGTTGTGATGCTGAGTCACTAGCATTGCTTGTAAATTTTTAGGCGTATTTCCAGAAGAAAATGTGTAAGAACTAGGAAGCTATGCTTTACTTTGTCTTGTTTGGGAATTACTGGCTAACTGCTTGTAGAATGAGCTGTACTTCAGCATAAATATAACATGTGTTTTTTCTTCTGCTTATCCTGTACCTCAGTTGCCATAATAGTCACTTTAAAAAGAAGTCAAATGTGAATTAGTGTTTTATTCTGACTGCAGTCAATTACTTTCCACAGAGAATATGCATAGTTCTTTTATGCGAGCTTTTGTACCTAGAAAAATATTAAAAAATAAGCCTAGCTTTAGCAAATGGACTGTTCTAAAAATAGAAAATTGATAGGCATATTCATTCAGCTGTCATGATGTTTGTTCATCATAAGCTGAGATGAAAAGCACTGAAAAAGCTTACTGTAAGATATTCTTCGTGCGTGATGAATGTTTGCTGAGATTTTCAAGAGTGAAATAAGAAATATATTCACAGCTTGATTGCATTATGATGTTTTAAGAAACTGAGCAATTGCAGTATGTAATTAGCTAGTCAAGTAATAACCGACTTTCTAGCTGATGCTTTTTGTATAGTCATGAAAATGTTAGAGGCCACTAGAGCTGTGGGGTTTTTCTTCTGCCGGTTAGTGATTATTTATGGAAGAAGGTTTTGCAGTTTTGTCTTGAATGTGGAATTCTATATAAATATTGTATATTTGTATGATAAAGTCTAAGCATCAGTGTACAGTATTTATGTAGGAATTTAATATGTTATAGCGTAACTGCTTTTAAAGTAGCAAATTCCTAAGAAAATCAAATTAAAGGAACCAATAATGTGATACTTAAAAGATGGCTCAAAGTTTTACAGTGTTTTAAGATGTTCTAGAAGTTTCAGCAACTTTCTTCTGAATAGACTTCTAGCAGTGCACGCTAGAGATAGGTGCCTACAATGAGATATTGCCTAACTCTAATTAAGGCATTACTCTAGTAAGTCCAATTACAGTAATATCAATACCAGTATGTAAATCACACAGACATAAATTCATAACCGTGTATAAAGATCTTGATAGTTCTGTCTCTAGTGTATTACTAATTGAATTCTCTTTGAGCTTAATATTGCATATGAGGAGGCTACCTCTGTTTTCCCATTCTGTCAATAAAGAACAGAGCAGGTACCCGTAAGTCCTTTGTTCCAGCTCTCATAGTGATAAACATTTGTGTATCTAATTTCCAAGTCATAAATGGTTTGCACTTAAAACATTTTGCTAGGTCTAGGTTTGTTTGAGTTTATACAAGAGCTTGTTTTTAATTTTGAGCCTGCGGTTTGTTGCATTATAGATTGGATCACAAGGAAAGGGGTAATTTCTTTGAAAAATAAAACAAACAAACCATGGATTTGCCTTGTAGATCTTTTGCATAGCTACGATTCTAAGGTTTGCTCATTTATGAGCTAGGAAAATAGTAAGGGATATAAACTCTTACATTTCTCATTATATTCTAAGCGTCTGATGTGGTTTGGGAAGGAACTTCCCTCAAGCAAAGTTGTTCTGCAAATCTCCAGTGAAACACTTTTCATTGTCATCCTTCAAACTGTCAAATACTGGCCAGTAATTCCTGTGTACCCGTGAAGCAGCATTCCAAGTGAGAACCTCAGGTACTAGTAATTGCCCGATGTAATATGTTAAAAAGAGCTTCTGAGAAAGTATTTTGCACAACCATAGAAGTGCAGTATTGGGGCAAGACTCTAGTGCTTGCTGAATGCATGACAATTATCCTGTGGAAGAGAGCTATGTAAGCTTTTAGAAGTGTGAAAAGTAACTTCAACTGAGCTAGTGTAATATTGCTTTAAATATCCTTCAATAAAATGTTTTCTTCTCGCAGAAGTCCCCATGAAAAGAAGAAGAAGAGACGGTCTAGATCACGTACCAAGTCCAAAGCTAGGTCTCCTTCACCATCCATGTCACCAGGCAAACCATCCACACACAAAAATTCTGTACATTCAACTAGTGTCTCTCCTGTGGAGAGCAGGGAATCCAGCCAGGAACGCTCCAGGTAATATGGTCTTTTACTGTAATGCTGCAGTGCTGATGCCTCTTGACTGTGAGTGTGTCTTTCGACCTAAGTTGTATGATGAGGAGCTCTGTGTGTGCATAATGTGTGCATATTAAAAGTGGAAGACACTGGGAGGACCGCACTATACGTGTCAGTCTGATGAAGACATAGGATCTCTGTTGCCTACTGGAGTAAACATCTCAAAATACTCTTACAGTAAAACCAGTGCAGAAAATTCTGCAACCTGATTCTAAGTTAGAAATTGGAAACTCTCACTAAATGGGATAGCTCTTTGAAGTAGAATTTTAATAGAGTGTCTGGAATTGTAATGTGTGTGCAAGATTCATTAATTAACTTATTTCTACAGAACATAGAACAGTCCTGTTAAAAATTTCTAGGCTGCTGTTCAGATTTCTCTGTATGAGTTGTATGAGTGACTCTTCTGACTTTGACTTATCTTGGCTTCTAGTTGAATGAGAGAACGGTTGACTAATATGGGAGAGACTTGTACAATAAAATCCAAAATCATGATGGTAAGTGAAATGCATTTTTAAAACATTTACTGTAAATTTCTAATTCTAATTTTACTTTTCTAGGGGAGTTTCTCAGGAAAAAGATGGCCAAATCTCTTCAGCAATTGTGTCTTCAGTGCAGAGTAAAATCACTCAGGTACAAATAAACAAATTCAGAGTGTGTTGACTGATTAAGTGTGTCCATCATACTGTTTTCTTCTCTTACTACCATGTACAATTCTGAGCTTTGCATATGAGGTAGAGGACATGTTCATTGTCATTCTTAATCTGTTTGCTTATGAGAAAAACAGTTCTGTTGCTTCACTAGCTACTGTCCTTTTCAAGTTTAATCAAGCCTCTAAAGACCAAGCCAAATTCTGTACGCTGCAGTGTATCCACTGTTAGGAAATTCCACATTGTGCTGCAATACTCCACTTACCAATAGCAGGGATTACCAAGAGCCCACCTTACCATGTAGTGCTCTTAACAAGTTTTGTGGAAGAAGGAAGGAGAAATATCTTGGCAAAGGCTAAGTTTGCAGTGTTGGCACTAGAAGAAAAATATGTCCTCTTGCAAACTGAAGTGTATGCTTTGCATTAAGTAGTATCTTCAGCTCACTTATCTTGCCCTTGTTGCTGTTTATGTCTCTGAACTACTGTTGTTATGATTTTGTTGATATATTCAAGTTTGCTGCGAATCATGGCATATCAGGTATGTGCCTCTGTCTGCTGTGCAATAATCTAAATGCATTCAGCTTCCCTAATGCAGTTTTAAGATACCAAACCTCCATCAAAATAATTACATTCCTTTTTTAAAAGCTACTGCCTGGTATCACTCTTCAAAAATTTTAATTTCACTCATCCTCTTAGAGTCTTCATGCATATTGAACTTTCTTTCAGTTGAATGTGCCACGTTTAGAGGAGGGAAAGCTCTTAACTGTGCTTTGGAAAATTTACAATATAAAATCAGACTTGCTTTTTTACAATATCTTTTTTTTTTTCAATGGATAGATTATTTTTTCAATAAATTCATATTTTTCAAAGATTTAGTTCCTCTAGGGAAATAGTGACAGATGGGAATTAATACTAGTAGACTAGTACCTTACATACCATATTTGATCTGTTTTTGATGAGAAACCCAGAAGAAGAATATTCGGGAAAACAGAAAATAGCAAGTATAGGCACCAGAGAAAGAAGATGGAGTACTAATGCCATAGCATGTCTTAGGCTGCCAAACAAATGCATGGAAATTCCTGGTATGAGAAATGAGATATGAACTACATCATGGTCTTCAAAGTCAAGTAAACATTCCTCCCCCCCCTCTTTGAAAACATACACCCTTCAGACAAAGGTAATTGGTTCATGTACTTCTTGGGATAGATATTGCTTGTGGCATAGCATTTGCTGGTTTAATATTGGTCTCCTTGCTTGAAGTGCAGCTGTAAGAGGAGGAAACATCACTGTGTTAAAATACAGTTCCTTGCTACTGTTTGCAAAAAGCAAAAAAGAGGAATGAGACTTAGATGAATCTGCAAGATATTTCCCAACATAGTTTAGCATCTTTTTATCGTTAAGAGCCCAAAGAAATGTAATTTACCTAATTATTAGTAAGACTGTTTGCTGCCAATGTGCTGGCTGATCCTGACCAATTCAGTATCTTTTCTCATTCAGATCCTCCCATCTCTAAAGTGGAATAACGATACTGTAAAGTGAAATAATGATTCATTCCCCTGTGAAGTGTTTTGAGAGCTTCAGAAGTAAAATGCTTTAAAAGAACTAAGGGTTTTCATTCATTTATATTGCATTTGTGAAGAAATGTTTTAAGGAACTTTAATTCATAACTGATACACACTTCTTATTTTATGATAATTTTTTGTAACCCAATTATTTGATTCTGTTTACATGAAATTTCATTTCCCTTTGTAGTGCCATTTCCACCGGATACTCAGATAAGACCAAGAGTTGCTATTTGGTTTCACAGCAGTCTTAATAATGTTTCAGTCACTCTGTCATTTGTGAATATACTGCTGCTGTGTAAATTTTTGGCTCAGGTTTACAAAGCAAACAAAAAAAGCTTTCTGTTCTAGAGTAATTGTTACCACTCTCTTCATACCAGCTCCTCTCTTTTTTCTTTTTCCTTTTTTTTCTTTTTTAAACCTTCAGTGGTTAGTAGTTGTGTGTTCATTACAGTTGTTGTGAAGGCACAGTCATAGTTTTTTTCCATGTCAGTTGACATGATTTCTGTCTTTTGTTGTATAGAAACTGCTCTAAGTATTTATGCAGAGCACTTTGTAGCATTGTAGTAAAAGCAGACTTCAGTTGCTGTCACAGGAACTTTCTCCAAATGATTTCACTCATTTAGCCTAGGGACTGTTAATATCTGATGATCATGAATCTAAGTATTCTACGTGGCTGGAGCATAAGCTCGGCCTTTCATGTAGGTTACTGCAATCACATGCTTTAGCTCTGGTCAAAGACCAGACATGTCTAATCCTTTTCCTTTCATTTTCTACAGGATCTTATGGCCAAAGTGAGAGCAATGCTTGCAGCTTCCAAAAACATACAAACTAGTGCCTCCTGAGACCTGTTGAACTGACCATCGAGAAATTGTGTGAAAAGGAATAATATAAAAAAAACTGCCTCATCTCAAATGTACAGCTGAGCTTAGCTCACTTGGTTCACAACTCGTCTAATATTACCAGAACTCGAGGAGCTAAAACCTATCTTTCTGTACAGAAGCGTCTCCTTGAAATTTCATTAAACTTTTTCAGCCAGAATATCTTTGCAGGTTTTTGGTTTTTGTAAATTGATTTTTTGACTAATTCTTCAGTAACATTTTATGATCAGCATTATATGTGTATATTTGTAAATACCATGTTTCTGTGAAAGAAGTATTACGCAATAATAAAGAAGGAAACATCTTTCATTAGCTAGAGTTTTTGTGGAGTCCTTAATTGTTTGCGGTTGACTTTTTGTTCCACATTAATTTTCTTTTTCTGTAGTACCTTCTCCTTTTTAAAATAAGAACTGTTTAGCCTGCCCGACCACGTTAAGTTTTTTTTATTTTCCTTCATGCACGGAACGATCTAAGAAGAATGCTTGTTTGCTTGGGTGTTAGTAGTGGACAGTTCTTGGATGAGAGAAATGATTTCCTGTCCATCATTCAGAAAGATATCTCAGCCTTCATTTGAGGAGTTGACCCTTTGAAGTCAGTAACTAATGGTCAGTAGCACTTTGGGCTTAATGTGCCGTGTTCTCTCTAGTTAGCTACAGAGAAGAGGGTGTATTTTTGTGGTTGTTCAACAGGCGTACTTTACAGAAATGTAGCATTCTTCTGATTTAACGTCTTTCATACGGTTGAGAAAGGTGCTTACTGACTTATGTTTTACTGACATACACCGGCTAACACTCTTCAGAGGGCTTGCAGCCTCAGTATAATTTCACATTTGTTTATTATTCATTCTTTGTTGTACACTAAGACTATTTAATTTTTTAATTGAAAAATTCTTAAAATGAGTACAAAAAGGCATGCATGAATTTTTCCCTAAGCTTGCTTTAACTGTGAGGTTTTGCAATAGTTGGTGTATTTGAAAGGTGCCCCTGTTTGCAGTTATTGGATTCCATAAAGAGTGGAATCAGGGCTTTTAATGACCCTTGAAAAACTCTGCTCTGTAATCAGAAAGATTGTGGTTGTAGTGACTCATGTCCTAATTTTCTCCATTTTTATAGAGAGTAGGTGGAGGTTGGAAATGGATTAGAGAAATTAACGTGGTAAAGTTTACACTTACTCACAGACTAGCTGGTAAGTTAACTATATAGAACCACACAGATTAATAACTCCAATGCAAAATCTTTTTGTTCAAAGCAAGGGGAGGAGAAGCAATGCATTGACGAAAAACTTGGAGGAACAGGATGGTCAAAGTGGTAGTTGGCGTGCCACTTGCTGGTGCTCACTTGGAATGAGAGGACAATATTGAAACCATTGGAAACAATAATCAATCAGGTTTCTTTTCAATTTTTGGCCATTAATAATTAGAAGAGTTTACACTCCTACAAACAATATAAAATACTGTGTCTGATGCAGAGGAATTTCATTGTGAACATAAATTGTGAAGAAACGGAGCCATCTAACTGGTAATTTAGAATCATCCAGCATTTACCTAATTATTTCAAAGTTATTTGTAATGTTTTTACAAGGACAAAAATAACTTTCGACCAGTGCGAGAGAGAGAATATTTTCCCTGTATAGTGTTGATGAAACAGTACTGGTAGAGACAGAGATAATAAAGGACATAAAGTAAATTTTGTAGGCAGCTGTTCTAGATTGTTGTGCAGTGTTAAATTTACAGCAGCTTTATTTTTTGCCTCCTAAATGGAGTTAAAAGTCTCTCCATGGTTAAATAATTGGCAGGTTGGATGCCAGTTGTTTGTCATGTAATAGGAAAAAAGCCCAACTCTGATAAAATAGACTGGGCAGCTTGTTTTGCTGCTGCTTTGCAGATTTATTCTCTTTGGGAAGGTTGTTGCTTTAATGACTTCTTAAAATATTCTCCCTCCCTGTGAGCAAGTCTCTTTTTTTTTTTTTTCTTCTTTTTTTCTTATTCCTTTTTGTGGTATGAAGTGAGATGGAGCGTTTAGCTCCAGGAAAATTTAGATTAAACTGCATTTTTATACACTCTTTACTGTTTACTGAGGTTTGTTTGCATTTAGCACTCTCTCATGGGTAGTTGTATTCTCCAGAATTTAAAAAGTAGTAGTGTTTTTATTGTATTATTTCTTCTCTTTCCAACCAGAATGGACATTTTCACCAATTAAAGGGGCTTGAACTGTTTTAGCAGAATAGTTCCTTTGTATGCATTCACATTTAGAAATCGATGCTGCTTTTTTGGTCTGTCTTCACAGGCATTAGCTGTGTTGTAACCGTTTGTAAATACAACATGGAGCTTATGATACAATCAGTACAATTTCTGGTGTCTGGTAGGTCAGGAGAATGTGTAACCAATATCAGGAAAGTGTCTTAAGAATTTCAAACTGGAAAATTTTCAGATTTCTATTTTCCAGGTGTGGATTTTTCCGGAAGGACCCAGGTATAGAACCCTGCCCAAGCATCTGGGACCACAGCCAGCAGGTCTGGGAACTGGACTGCATCTCACACCCCACCTCCTGTCCACGAGAACTGTATGTACTCAGTCCCTTGCCGTGTGGCCACACACCAAGGAGCCTGAAGAGGCCCTCTATCGCCTGGCTGTGTTGCCAGAATCTTGTTTCTGAGGGGAAATACATGAGGTTCCTACAATGGGGAGTTCAGAAACTGGGAGAGCTTCAGTTGGAAGAAAGTGGGCTTTGAGTAGTCGTGAGGGAGGCACTGTGGTAGCTCTGAGATGTCAGTGACTAGTTTTAATTTTTCAAATTTCTTAGTTTTGTGGAAACAATATAACATGAGATTGCTTTGCTTTAAATTCAGTCAAATACTCTTTAGCTGTAGGTACTTTGAATTATTTCCTCTGCGTACGTGTAACAAACCAGGAGGAGTTGCAATATTAGCACTAGCTTTCCAAAGTGCTTTGGCAGGGCCTTTTCGTCTGTAATGTGCTAGCTAGACTTTGCTTATTTTCTTAGGAGTTCCAGATCATAGTTTTGAAGATTAAAAATTAAAAATTGAAAAATTGTCAGTTTCTACAACAAAACTTCATTCTCTCTGTATTCATGCAGAGTAGCCTTCTCTCAAAAAAAAAATTCCAGTGACAGACAGTAGGAGCTGCTCAAGACGTACCAGTTTTTTCTCTGGAGGTTCAGGTTCATCTGAGATACGAAAAAAGTACTGACAGCTTTGTTAAGTTTTGAACCAGTAAATCATTTGCCTACTTGGGTATTTGTGGGTGTTACAGACATACTTTCTCAGTGATGGAGAACTTTATGAAAGAGAGCGAATAGGACAGAGGCATTGCCACAGCAACGGTAGCGTGTAGCCTGAAGTTGTCCACCTTGCTTTGTTGAATGGGAGTGAAACAGATGCGTGTTAGTTGCTTGTATACATCTGTCCTGCGACCCATGTTACCAGTTTCTTTCAGAGTATGTTCCTCAATACAGACTTCTGCTTCACCAGCTTTGCTCGATCTGCCCATCTAGGTATAATCTTCATAGGTCAAGTGGCGGATTCGTAATAAATTCTATTAAAAATGCTCTGATTTGAATTAATTAGATGTGTTCAGCAGCTTCCTATATGGCTCTTCAGTCAGCTGGTGGGTAACCTGTTTATAAGAAAAAAGTTAAAATTGCTTGGCCATCTCAGTGTATACTTTTGGTTTTTCTGCAGGTGAGGAGACCTTGCTTCCACTTGTAGGGCAGCTTCTGTCGGACTGAGTTAATGGTTTGGCATCGAACAGTTTGGCTCTGTCAAGAAGCTGACAGCCATTGCAATGTATCTGCGGTCTCTTGGCATTGATGTGATTTCACATCTATTGACACTTGCAGCTCCTTGTATCATAACGTTTTGTTTGACACCAATTATTTTGGAACGTACACTTTCTCGCTTGTAAACTTCACGTGTTACAGACAATCAAAACCATACTCTCCATTCTTCAATGGGGCAACAAATGATAACACTTAGAATTCATGTTTGCTTGGATTTAAGTCAATGTCTGTTATCTTTTGTGAAGATATTTTATTGGGAAATCCTATTTAATTACATTTCTACTTAATTAAATTGCTTTTATCATCTGTTCCTATTTTCCCATACCTACCCAGCAACTAATTACATGAAGCAAAGAAGTAAAAGACCTGTGGGTTGAGGTTAGTGTAATGCTAAAGCGTCTTCTTTACTGATTTTTCTTTCGCGTCATGATCTGAAAGCATGAAATACTGCATCGCACTGATCTAACATCCTTATTTTCGTCTTGTAAATTAACTTTCTATAGCTTTATGAAAATTTGTTCGAAATTCTCCTAAATGCAGCTCTTAAAAGTTGAAAGCTCAGTGTTTGAATTTTTTTCTGTTGTGATTTAAATATGAACATGTTCTTAATATTTTGTTTTGCTTTATACAGATCCTTTCGGCACCAGATTAAGTATTACATATAAAGGGAAAGGCTTTATTGGAGCAGTTGGTTGGAAACTAATACCTGCCTGCATGCTAATTAGGTTTCAGTCTTTCTGGCGGCCAGCTGATGTGGTATTGCTTTTCTTACTCTGTTTGAACCATTGAAGTGTTCTTGATAATTCTTGGTGCAAAGCATGTCTTTGGGGTTTTGGGGGGTTTATTTTTACCTTAATTTTCCCTGATGTGGATTACGCAGGAGATGAGTATAGGTATGGAAATACCACACTGGATTTTGTATAATCTTAAAGCAAGTCCTGACTGTTCATAACAAATTTACTTTTACCTTCCAGTGAACTTGAAAATTCCATGGTATTAATTTAATATCTTCAGTTTGAATGAAGATGATAATCTCTTGGCAACAATTAATCCTGAACATATAGCATGACAAACATTATAAAAAGCTCTGCCGGACCATTTTAAAAGCGATGGTGATAATCTGCCATTTCTGGATCACTGCCATACTCTCCTTGGGCGATGTGCTGTGACTTGTTTTTTCTGCTAAGGACACAATAGCTGCACAGCTAGGTGTATGCTGACAAACTCATTTTTATCTTTAAACTGAGTATTAAACTGTTCATCTCTAAATAGAAAGTGTGATGATTGCTTTGTGATATTTGACAGTGTTACAAATACAGCTGCCTGGTAGGGTAAGAGAAATCCCGGTATGCAAGACTGGAGAAGGGCAGATGCCAACTTCCCCAGACAACGTGGAGTGGCAGATATGATATGTTACTTCAGTAAAACTGGCATGATTTGGGGATCCAGGCTTTTCCTTGTCCTGTTTCCTGTAAAACAAATTCTAAGGATATATTCTTCCAGGGAGAAGTCCTTTA